TGAATGATGCTTTGATGATCAGACCAGTGGTCCAAGATGATATCTTCTCGATCAACCTGCGTTTTCGTAAGCATCGGTTCGCCTTCTCTGCTGACGTTAGTAAAATGTACCGGCAAATAGCACTTGCCAGAATCCACACTTCTTTGCTTCGAATTTTCTGGAGAGAAAATCCAAATGATCCCTTACAAGTTTTGGAATTAACGACAGTAACCTATGGTACATCTTCTGCGCCATTCTTAGCCACAAGGGCACTTCAGCAGCTTGCTATTGATGATGGTGATCAATTTCCGATTGCAGCCAAGATCGTTCTTGAAGATGTTTATGTTGAAGTTCATGGCTTTGCCGATGCTTCTGCCTATGCGTATGGAGCATGTCTTTATATCCGAACCGTAACCCATGATGGGGTAAAGGTATCTCTTGTCTGTAGTAAGTCGAAGGTCATTCCAATCAAAGGATTGACGATTCCCCGATCCGAACTGTGTGCTGCATTGTTGCTAATCAGATTGGCCATGAAGGTTCTTCCGGCATTTAAGATGGACTTCCACTCAATCCATTATTGGTCGGATAGTCAGATCGTTCTTTCATGGTTAAAAAAGCCTCTATCTCAACTTGACGTTTTTGTTCGCAATCGAGTTGCAGAAATTGTTGATCATTCTGTTGATGCTAATTGGAATTACATCAAGTCGTCCGAAAACCCAGCTGATGTTGTCAGTCGTGGTCAACCCTCCCAACTCCTTGCCTCGAACGAACTTTGGTGGAACGGACCTCCGTCTCTGCGAAGTCATAGCTATCTGATTGATGAGCTTAATCCTCTTCCCGATGATAAACTACCGGAATTGAAACCAGTAACCGCGTCTACTGCCGTTCTTGTTCCTGAAACCCTCCCAGTTATGACTGCCTTTAGTTCATTCCGAAAGCTTCAGCGAGTGATTGGATATGTCAGGAGATTTGTTGTGAATGCAAGGTCTCCCAAATCGGAACGCATCACTTCGGAATACCTAACTGTGCGAGAGTTGAAAGAATCATTGAATTTGATTGTTAAGTATATTCAAGGAGTCGCATTTTCTGACGAAATTCGTCGGCTTGAATCAGGTGAACCTTTGCGTCGACTCAGTAGTCTGAATGTTATTATGAATGATGGTGTGTTGAGAGTGGGTGGAAGACTGAAGCATTCATGTTTGCCATATGGTTCAAAGCACCAAGCCGTACTCCCTGATAAAAACCCAATTGTCGAATCGTTGCTAAGAGCAATGCACTGCGAAATGTTGCACATTGGTCCGTCTGGTCTCATTTCGTTGGTCCGCCAGAGATTCTGGCTTCTGAATGCTCGTTCTGTTGTCAGCAAAATCATCCGGTCTTGTGTTACATGTTTCCGATCCAATCCGAGGTTGCTTCAGCCATCTATGGGCGATCTACCTGAGGTTAGAGTCGTTCCAGCTCCACCTTTCTCGAAATCAGGAGTTGATTTCGCAGGGCCAGTTTTCATTCGCCAAGGCAGTAGGAAACCTGTTCTAGTGAAGGCTTACATTTGTCTTTTTATTTGTATGACCACCAAGGCCATACACTTGGAATTGGTATCGGATTTGTCTGCTTCATCCTTTGTTGCAGCACTTCATCGTTTTGTTGCTCGACGAGGTCTCATCGAGGAACTGTTCTCGGACAACGGGACAAATTTTGTAGGAGCCAAATCTGATCTGCACGATTTGTTCCAGTTGTTCAAAAGTGATCAACTGCATGGACAGTTGAATGAGTTCTGTCAGGTTCGGGAGATAAAATGGACTTTTATTCCACCCAGGGCGCCCAATTTTGGGGGGTTGTGGGAAGCTGGAGTAAAGAGTACCAAAACACACCTTAAAAAAGTTCTTCGTGATGCTTCGCTGACGTTTGAGGAGTATTACACTGTGCTCACACAGATCGAGGCGATCCTTAACTCCCGACCACTGTTTCCGTCCTCTTCAGATCCCAATGAGCTTGAAGCTGTTACGCCCGGGCATTTCCTCATTGGTCGCCCATTGACTGCTATTCCGGAACCTTCACTTGAAGATGTAAACATTAATAGACTTACACGCTGGCAGCTTGTCCAGCGTATCCGTGACCATTTTTGGAAGCGATGGTCTCGCGAGTATTTGAATACCCTACAAACCCGTCAAAAATGGACAAAGGGTTCCAAGAATGTAACTCCAGGGATGGTAGTATTGTTGAAGGAAGATAACCTTCCACCTCAGGCGTGGAAACTGGCTCGAATTCTGAAAGTCTACCCCGGATCAGATTCAATTGTTAGGGTTGCAGATGTCCAAACCTCTCATGGTATTTTCCGCCGCCCAATCTCGAAGTTGGCCCCTTTACCCTTTGATTCAACCCAGCCCTCTGTTGTTTATCAAGTTCCTCTTTGCCCGGAGGGAGAATGTTCGCGATTGAAGCGAACGTAATGTGTTGTAGAAGTAGTAGTAGTAGTTGTTTTGTGTAATCGCCCTAACCACTTACCCAATCCTTTAAAAACTCTACTAACCCCGAGGCGACCGCGGGTAATCGGTTTCCGAAACTAACCCTAATGTGCTACATGTGTAATTTGTATCGAGACCCTGAAAACAAGCTTTGACCATTTCCTTACGCTGCCGCTGGCTTGGCACGAGCATGCAAGCAGCAGCACCGACCGAGCGACGAGCGACCGACCGACCACAAACCAACGAGCGTGCAGCGAGTGCTGATTGGTTATGAATGAAGGGGAAATGAATGAATGCAACATCAAAAAGAAGAAAGCCAAACACATTTAAAGCGACGCATTTTGCGCGTCGCTATTATACAGTCCACAAGCTTTGTAAAGCAAACACCGAAATATAGCGCCGTTGAAAGTTTTAATTCATTCTCGTTTTTCCTCTTTGGACAAGCCGAAGCCAAAACAGTCCTTTTCAGGGCTATGAGTTGAGTTGAATTTCAGTCGAGCTTTTCGTTGTGTTGGCATTCCCACAGGGGGAATTGGCCAAATCAGCTGGAATCCTCCGAGCCGAGGATTGCCACACCATCTCCAGTGTCCGTGATCGGACAACCTTGTTGCCTTCTGGAATGAACACCGGGTCCATTTTTTTTTGCCATCGGAAGCCACCAATCCAAACCCCATAACGCTAGGAGGATGCTTCACACTTAAATTTTTGTCGCCGAGATTCCAACAGCCGAGTAGTTCTGCAATTTATTTTGCTGAGATTCATTAAAACAATTGCCAAGACTCAGCTAACAAATATCATTTTGCTGAGATATCAGCTAACAAACAGATATTTTGCAGATATATCAGCAAAAGTAAATGCCGAGGTAATCGGCTGTTGGAGATTTTACCGAGCTAGATTAAGTGTGTTGGTCAGATACACGTTCTTGTGCTCGTCGGCCACGTCTCTTACCGGAAGAGAACTAATATACCGGCCGGTTCTGGAATTTACTACGGGATCGACGGTAAACATGCTCTCGTCGGTGAACAGGATTACCGTATTTTTGCAAGATTTTCTTGCATCGTTCGACTCGTAGCTCCCGGATGCGGTTGGTAATCATGTGAGTTTTTTTTCCGTGCCCGCGACTTCGCCCCGCAATCTTCGTATACGATGTTCCGTGCCGTAAAGTCTCTGATCCCGTGTTCCTTTGCCATTTTCGTTATTGGACGCACTGGATTCACCCGAATCTTCCTTTTGATAGCAGCGATAACCCTCGGAACCCGAGCCGTCCTGTGGCCACCTTCGCGGATAGTTGTCCCTTCTTTTCTCGGTCTAAAACCCTTTTGACGGTCCACCGGGACACTCCCACGGCGATTGAAATGTCTTTTTGCGATAGTTGCGCGTGGGACAAATCACGAATATGCTGCCACTTCGTCATGGTGCAACTGTCAAACTAAGTAAATCATTTTCTTTTATACACAGCCTACTACGGTATGAGTTATAGGTTACGTGCATGCAAAGAAAACCAAGGCATTGTATTCACAGGTGAAACGGGAACCTTATTTGTACGATGGTGCAAACATTATCACGCATACGGTACAGACGCAATAAAGACAAGCCTTGAAACGTATTTTTATTGAATTGGGGGAGGCTTGAGCTCCTTTTTCAGATGTTTTTTTTTTGAAATTCATTTATTACAGGCAACCCGGGATCAAGTGTGTCAATATTCTCGGGAATAAGTCTCCCAAAAGAGATTTTTATTTTGCTCACACCCATATCTCAGAACTTAGTGTGTCTAAACCTTGAGGGATCAAGTCTACACGAGCTGAGTTAACAATTTAAAATCAAACAGAATTAAAGGTCAAATGAAAAAGCACCATTGCTTATCTATCCATCTACTTATTTACACCTTCGTACTATGAAGATTTGTTTTTTTTTTTATGGAATACACAAAGAGTTATTTAACATTTTAATGCTGACTAAATTGCAAGTCTTAGGGAGTGTAAACATAATAATTGCTCTAAAAAATATATTTTTGGCTGTGATTGACAGTAAAACATGCCGCTGATGATTGTATCGATGACACCGCCAGACGGGAATGTAGATGTGAAACCACCCCATCATATCGCTGCTCGACTATACACACTCAACGGCGGCAAATAGGCAGAATTTCATGCACGCTCCATGTGCCTTTGTTTGTGTTCTGTGTTACTTCATTTGCGAATTGTGGTCATGTAGGTACTCGTTATTTTTTTAAGCCACTACACATGTGTGCTACAACGCGAAGCCATTCTAGCCCTCGTCAAGGCCCCTCTTTCCCCTTTCCGCTAGCACCAACGATCGATTGCATAACTGCATGAGGCGCGTGGTTTTCGTCGGACAATGTGTTTGTTGATTTTACTCTGCCGTTTTCCTGGCAGACGGTGACTACGGGTTTTATGTTGATTCAGGATTGCTTGATTGAATGTTTTCGTCGTTTATTGACTTCTAGATTGTTGGTTGGGTGGGGATTATGTAAGAAATATTACCATTCGGAAGGGTTATTGATTTAGTTTTTCGATTTTCTTGGTCTTGTTTCAGATTGAGTCGTCAAGTTGGTCAAGAAACACAATACTAGACATCTGGTGGAATTCGTCTTGGCACGATTCAATACAAAAGCATGACCAACAGACCCATACTTCGCAGCTGCAAGGACCTGTGCAAACCAAACTTTTACTGTAACGTAACTTAAGCTTTGATCTGCAACGAGGTTTCAATCCAACTGACCAAATTAAGTTAGTTGGTCTCTAAAAACTTACACACGCTGAATTTATGTTAGAGAAAATAGTGTATATAATTAGATTTACTGCGTAAAACAAAACCGACCGAAGAAGGAAACTGAATGTGATATCAATTAGGTGTAAGGTAGCATAACCATATAGTACGTGCTTCAAGAATATAATTGAGGAGCTTCCCAGTGATTGCCAACAACGAGCTTCAACCTAGTTAATTGTTTCGTAACGTAAACAGCAAAATTGTCAACATAGATCCGCTATCCCCTTCAATGATGGAGGACGATCCAGACGATAAGGATGACACCAAAAGGTACGCTCCTGCCTGATTCATTTTCAGGATTTAACCAATTAATCTTTTTTTTTTTTTTTGATTCTAGAAAATCCCGCAACCTCAGCGAGAAGAAACGCCGGGACCAGTTCAACCTGCTGGTCAACGAGCTTAGCTCGATGGTGTCGTCCAACAGCCGCAAGATGGATAAGAGTACCGTGCTCAAGTCGACGATAGCATTTCTGAAGAGTCACAACGAAATAGCGGTCCGCTCAAGGGTGCACGAGATCCACACGGATTGGAAGCCATCGTTTCTGTCCAATGAAGAATTCACGCATCTGATTCTGGAAGCTCTGGATGGGTTTATAATCGTGTTTTCGTCGACGGGACGCGTATTCTACGCATCGGAGAGTATAACGTCGCTGCTTGGTCACCTACCTGTGAGTATCCTATCATGTTAGTTGAACTTCAACATTGATTCCACAGTTGTGCCCTTTCAGAGTGATTTGCTCAACATGACCGTGTACGACATGGTGTACGAGGATGATCAAAATGATTTGTACAACATCCTGCTGAATCCGGCGGCGGTAGTAGATCCACTGCAGACGGGTATTTCCCGTGAGAATCAGGTTACCTTCTCGTGCTACATCAAAAGGGGTACGGCAGACTACCGGACCGAGGTTTCCTATGAGATGGTAGAGTTTTCCGGGTATTTCAGTGAGTATGGTTCTTGCTTTGACCCCGCGTTTCTTTGACTGAACCAATAATGCGTCTTTATAGGAAGTGACGTAGATGCAGATTCGCTGATGACAACGTCCAGATTTAGTGGCTACATGACCGATGCCGATACGAGGTTAATCTTTGTGGGAACGGGACGGCTGCAGACGCCTCAATTGATCAGGGAAATGTCGATTGTGGACAGCTCGAAGAGCGAGTTCACATCGAGGCATAGCTTGGAGTGGAAGTTTCTATTTCTGGATCACCGGGCGCCTCCGATTATTGGGTATCTACCGTTTGAAGTTCTCGGGACTTCCGGGTATGATTACTACCATTTCGATGACCTGGAGAAGGTCGTTGCGTGTCATGAAGCTTGTAAGGAATATTTCAACACATTGGATAGAGTTTTTGTATAAATGCTTACACGATTTCAGTAATGCAAAAAGGTGAGGGTACCTCGTGCTTCTATCGGTTCTTGACCAAAGGTCAACAGTGGATCTGGCTTCAAACTCGATTCTACATCACCTATCACCAATGGAACTCGAAACCGGAGTTCGTGGTGTGTACGCACCGGGTAGTGAGCTACGCCGATGTGATGAAACAAATGCGGAATCAAGCTGGAGGGGAGAGTAAATTCTCGGATGATGCGGACAGTGTTAGTGTTGGGGTTGAGAGAAAGTTTCAACCGAGCTCGTCCCAAAGTCTACTGGCCACATCTCCGTGGAGTTCGAAGAGCTCGAGAACGTCAAGGATAGCACCAACACCGGGAGGATCTCCCACAGGGGTTTCATCGAGAGGAAGACATCGGTACATTTCCTACCAAGGACCTGGGTCCGATTCAGCAACATCGATTTCAGCCGAGTCCCAGGGCAGTAGGCAATCGATGATGACTCATCATAGTTCGGTAAGTGGCTCCTAATGTTAGACTATTTTCAAGCTTATATCAAAACTTTATTCTCTAGAAATCTCGGATGCGCTCCAATACTTTCAACTCCAAATCTGCCTCCCAGGATGGTAGTAGTCAACATTCGACGACACATTTCATACTCCAACAACAGATGCTTCCGAATTCCCAACAACCCTCACCGGAGTCTTATCAGCAGATGCTTGCCACCACGCAGCACCAACTTCGACCTCCGCCGGCAGCAACGATCATCACCCCACCCGTCACCCAAATTATCAGCCCCGCTGCATTCATCGAACCGCAACAGTATTTGGCAGCAATTCCAGTACAACCGGTAGCTAGTTTTCCACCGGACACGGCAACCAGTGTGATATCTCCGATACCCCCAACTTCTCCGGTTGCCTTCGCGGTTCATTCTAATGTCCCCTCCGCAGCAGGAAGTCTTGTGCTAACAACAGCCCAAAACCAGGTCCAAGATCAGCTGCAACGGAAGCACGAAGAATTACAGCATCTAATCATGCATCAGCAGGAAGAACTGAGAAGGGTACAGGAGCAACTACTGATGGCTCGCTACGGACTTTTACCCTCCATAGTGACTCTACCGTTCCCGAACGCTCCCAGCAGTACCAACGATATTAGCAGTAGGTGTAGTAGCAGTGCATCACATCTTCAACATCACCAGTCACCTCACAGTAGTCATCAGTACCAAACGCATCCTAGTCTAGCGAATCAACCGCAAAACTTACTTCCCTCTCACCACCACCAACAACCGCCACAACCAGATCAGCAGATGTCCATACCTCCGGATCAGAAACCGATCTTCCATCCCAATCAGCAGCTCAACTTCACCGATACCGGACAACCGAAGCTTCCGGGAGACCCTGCTGATGAAATGGTTTCCTATATGCAGCTTACACCCGTCCCGATTCACCACCTGCAACAACAACAACAGCAGCAACAACAACAACAACAACAGCCGCAGCAACAACCGCAATCCTCGCAGCAACTGCTAAATCCCGAAGCAAATCCCTCCGGTTCGAGTGGCAATAGCATGGAGCTGCTGCAGTACCAAATGGCACAGGAACAAGCGCAAATCTTGTTCACTTCCGGGATAGAACAGCAACAGCAGCAACCACAACAGCACCATCATCATTCGCAGCAGCAGCAGCAGCAGCAACAACAACAGCAACAACAGCAACAACAGCAAATGCACCAACATTCGCATCATCACCATCATCCTCAGCATCACCATCACCAGCAGCAGCAACATCATCAGTCACAGCACTCACAGCACTCACAGCACTCCCAGCATCATCAGTCGCAGAGCTCGTCGCATGGTTCTCCTGGCGGTGGGTCTACCAGGAGTCACCCCAGGAGTGATATATAGCTTTACCAGTAATGTGCGGGATATTAATGATATTGTGCCGTCAACTTGTTTTGGTTGAGCTTTTGAAATTGGGCTGTAGAAGTGAGTATTACATGTATCGTCTTCTAAGGAACTACGCCTCTAAAATGTAGTGCCTATATGGGGTAGCTAGTACAAGCGTTTGAAATAGTAATCCACTTTTTCTGTGTGGTACCAAGTCTAATTCAAACAGCCAAGACCTTTGCAACACATTGGGTTAAAATAGCGAGTCACGTTACCTAATTGTTTTTCGTCACGGTTTGAACGCTCTTACGCGAGCTTTCGGCTGCTCTAGACTTAGTTCTTGAAGCAACTCGATAATGATTGGGAGCTTTTTATTAATGATACTGAATTCGAGAAAATTTCGAACCTGAAAGAGTTTCTAGTCCGGATCGGGAATGGAATACGTCACCTCCGGCATGATAATATCGTGCTTTAAGTGACTAGGCTATCTGATACACGGTCTCCTGAGTAATCGTCTAAATGAAATCAGTCATTGGACGTCACGTCGGCCAGGAATTGACTCTAGCGGGACAAATTTTTTTAACTAGTTCGTTTATTTACTAAGCTCAGTTATGTGTGACACTTTGCGGAGCCAAAAATCAGTAATGCTTGAATTTACATTTTAAACAGCAGTAGTTCTAGGTTAGTATTGGGTACCAATTACTCGTGGCGGGCTCGAGGTTAATGGGTAACAATTTTGATTGGAAGGAGCTAGATAGGAAACTGGTTTCTGAAGCCTCCTTCAGAACTCTCGGACGGTTGACCAAATCCGGGCTGGGCAGGGGCAAGTAGAACAGAAACAGAAGGATAATAAGACTGGGACACAATGGCTGCAGATTGTGTGGAAAGGAGGGGATGGTCGCATCAAACTCTAACATCAGACAAACGAAGGAATTTGTAGATCGCTTGCATGTAGGGAAGATCACGGGTTCCCAATACATCTCTTACTTCACGGAAGGGTTGTCTACCTCGGGCCACTATGGTGCTCTGGAGGCGTCATTACCCGGGCATTACCAAACTGCGTGATCGATGTCATCATAACTGGTTCTGCACCTACATATATTGCTGTCAACGAGGTTTATTCTGTAGAGATGTGCGTCTAGCGAATAGTGGTTGGACATAAGTCTTGAAATCACGCGAAGGAATCCCCGACTTACGTCCAGACCTTTGAACCACGCTCTCCAAACATTTGGAATAATGGAATGTAACCACCGCCCAAGGGAACTCTGTCGTACTAATGGGAAAAATTCAACATGTGAAATTCTTCTATCATAAATCTCGCCTTGTTGTGCACTCACCTTTGCGAAAGAGTCTGCCTTCTCATTGCCTGGGATTGAGCAATGTGAGGGGACCCATACAAAGGTAATCATATATGATCTTTCGACCAGCAAACCCATCTGCTCTCTTATCTTTGAAATAATAAATCCGAAACGAAGCGTTTCCGTAGCTTGTTGTCGTGACCAAAAATGCTTATTATAACGAGGATCAATTTTTGGTATAGACAAATAGTTCAAAACTGATCCACATAGATGGCGCCAAATGCCTTATTTTTACTTAAACATTGTAGAAAATTGACGAGAAAATTGAGTTGTTATCAAAGTTTCTCTTTTAAAAATAAACAATTCTTCGAACAACGTCAACGGGCTTCATTTTGCAAGTCGAAACGACAAACTTTATTATATTGCGTTCATACAACAAATGTTTCGTTTAAATTTGCGAAATGTGACCCCCTATTTTCGAGTTTTTTTTTAAACAACAAATATTTGTGAAAATATTGTTTTCTCATTCTTTTTGATAAGGGAAACTACTTTGCATGGGCTAACTAAGGGACGTTAACCCTATTTACAACTTTCTGAGTTAACGATGTAGAACACGACAAGTCTGCAGAATGTCAGTGTTAAAAAAAATGATTTAGCACCATCTATGCGGATGAGTTTTAAACTATCTGTAGTTTTGGAGTTTCAATTTTGTCCCGCTAGATTGCATTCCTGGCTCATAGACTAAAAGCTGAACGTAAACGGGTCATTAGGAATCCAAATTTCACCATGCATTGTTCTGATTTGTTGTAATTTGTGAAGCATTGATCTGCTATGGTTCGATGGAACTACTTATACAATAAAATCTCTATAGGAAAAATTATAGGCTCAAAATTTCTCATGCATAGAGTTTCCTATGAACATCTGTCAAGAATTTTGAATATATTTCTAAAAAGTAATACATATGTAAACAGTAAACTTAGCTTAATGAAATGTAAAGAAGAGCTACATAAAAAAAATATTTTCTATAGATTTGGAAGCATTAACTTGTTTATAACTTATTTTCGATACAGTAAAAATCATAAAATAAATTTAAAGGCCCATATTGCTAAGACCTTCAAACAAAAATCAAAATCTGAGATTTTCAATATTTCTGAAGTCACCGACGCCGAGCTATGAATCTGGATTTTTTTTCTAGGCCAATTCTGTGTGCTTAAACAAGTTTCCAAGTTGAAGATCTTAGATTGTAGGATAGGCATCCATTCGTTTAATTCCGTGAAAAAACTCAAATTTACGTTATAAAATGAGATTTGGCAAACGTATTCGAAAATTCAATCAATTCAGTAGATTTAAGGGAAATTCCTGAGATCTGGTATTGCTACCAGTGAAACAAGAACAAGCGCAGAACGAGCGATTCTAAGGGAAATCGGGAAACGACCCAGCTCGCCCCTTTGGTTTGTTTTGTTAATGTCTTATATCTCGAAAGAAGATCCACCCAACAAGCAAACCTACTATTTGCCGCATCATGCAGTGTTACGTCCGTCCAGCTCGAGTACGAAATGTCGAGTCGTGTTCGACGCAAGTGCAAAGTTGGCGCCATCGGAACTCTCCCTGAACGATGTACTGCAAGTTGGTCCAGTAGTACAGAACGATCTGCACCATATCGCGCTACGGTTCCGAAAATTCAAGGTTGCCATCACCGGAGACATCTCTAAAATGTACCGTCAAATATTATTATTATTTATCTTTATTAGGGGGAGGCCTACCGTCAAATACTCAAAGCCCTGTTGGATCGTAGTTTCCTTCGAATCTTTTGGAGAGAGCACCCATCGTTACCCCTACGAGTCCTGGAACTCTGTACCGTTACGTACGGTACGGTATCGGCACCATATCAAGCAACCAGGTGTTTGCTGAAGCTCGTCGAAGAGGATGGTGAGGACTTTCCTATCGCCGCTCGTATTGTGAAAGAAGAAACGTACATGGACGATGTACTCTCCGGTGCAGACTCGGTGGAGGACGCTATCGAGGCTTAACAACAGCTGAAGCAGCTCCTTGGACAAGGAGGTTTCCCCATACACAAGTGGTGTTCAAATTCACCGGAATTCCTAGAGCATATTCCCGTGGAGGATCAAGAAAAAAGGATCACGTTGGAAGAGCATGGAGTGAATGAAGCCATCAAGGTGCTTGGTTTACTCTGGGATCCCTCTGCAGACTCGATACTCATAGCCTATCGTCCAAATCCAACATTGCATCCGTAACGGCCCACGAAAAGAACGATGTACTCCGAGATCGCCAAGTTTTTTGACCCCCTGGGACTGGTTTCACCGGTCATTGTTTTGGCGAAGCTTCTAGCGCAGAAATTGTGGCAGCTTAAGTCCGGGTGGGACGACCCGGTTGACGAAGAAATCGCACAGCAGTGACGACAACTCCAAGATTCCTTGTCGCATCTTCACGAGATCGAGATCCCAAGGCGCGTGACGATGGACAACGTGGTCGCCGACGAGCTGCACGGCTTCTCTGATGCCTCCAACAAGGCTTATGGAGCCTGTATCTTTTTACGAAGTATTTTTGGCGATGGCTCGGCGAAGCTTCGTCTCCTGACCAGCAAATCGAAACTGGCTCCCCTAAAAGAGCTGTCCATCCCACGAAAGGAATTGTGCGCCGCTCTTCTACTAACCCGGTTGGTACAGAAGGTGTTACCAGCCCTGGATATGACTTTCCGTGAAATAGTCCTGTGGTGCGACAGTACGGTAGTCCTCGCTTGGATTAAGAAACCTCTCAACCAGCTACAGTTGTTTGTACGGAATCGAATGGCAATTATACAAGAGCATACCAGTAAGTACCGGTGGGAGTATGTCCGGTCCCAACAGAACCCAGCAGACATCGTATCCCGAGATCAACTAGTTGAATCTCTGAAGCACAACAGCCTTTGGTGGAATGGGCCCGGATTTCTGCAAAGAGTTGAGTACTACGTAGATGCCCCTGAAGACGTTCCAGACGAGAAGATACCGGAACTTAAGGCCTTGGTAGCAGGGCCAGATGTGAGTATGGACTTCCTATCTTTTCTTCCAAAGCTCAGTAACTTCCGCAAAATCCAACGAGTTGTGGGCTATGTCCTGCGATTCACTGCAAATTGTCGGAAAAAGGACCCGACCAATCGAGAGATAAAGCCCCATCTGACCGTCTGTGAGTTACACCGCTCATCTGAAGTCATCATGCAAGTTTTGCAGAAGGCACATTTCTCCGACGAAATTAAGCTAATTCTGGCAAACAAACCCTGCAAGAGACTCGGAGGTCTTCGTCCAATTTACCACGACGGACTGCTTCGAGTAGGTGGTCGGTTGGACCGCTCCCAATTACCATTCGAAAGTCGCCATCCAATCATTCTGCCAGATAAGGATCCGGTAGTACGACTACTAATTCAACAAATGCACGTCGAGCTCCTTCACGTCGGGCAAACGGGCCTGATGAACGCCATGAGACAACGTTATTGGTTGCTGAACGCAAGATCCACCATCCGATTTATCACACGCCGGTGCGTGAGATGCTTCCGGACTAATCCTACCACTCCCAACCAATTGATGGGAAACCTGCCAGTATCGAGAGTAGTGCCGTCACCCCCCTTCGCTGTGACCGGCGTGGATTACGCCGGGCCTTTCTGGACCAAGCAAGGCACACGTCGTCCAACTTTGGTGAAGTCGTACGTGGCCGTTTATGTTTGCATGGCAACCAAAGCCGTCCATTTGGAGGGCGTCTCCGATTTGAGTACCGATGCCTTCATGGCGTCCCTTCGACGATTTATTGCTCGCCGTGGAATGGTCCAAGAAATCCATTCGGACAACGCAACCAATTTTCGTGGTGCTCACGACGAATTGAACAACCTTTACCAGCAGTTTTGTGACCAACACGCCGTGGACACCATCGAATCTTTCTGCCGCAATCATGAGATTGAGTGGAATTTCATTCCACCCGACGCACCCGAGTTCGGTGGTTTGTGGGAGGCAGCCGTGAAGTCGGCCAAAACCCATTTGAAGCGGGTAGTCGGCAATACGAATCTAACGTTCGAGGAATTGTGTACGATCCTGTCAGAAATCGAGGCCGTCTTGAACTCCCGACCATTGCTCGCAATTTCCAACGACCCGGCGGACCCGCTGGTGATAACTCCAGTGCATTATTTGATTGGACGACCGCTGATCGCCCCAGCTGAACCTTCCCTGGAGAACGTTAAAGCATCCCGCTTGACACGGTGGCAACATCTCCAACTTATGCGCGAGCAATTCTGGCGTGCCTGGAGCCGGGATTATTTGAATACCTTGCAGCCTCGGAAGAAAAATCGACAAGAGAAGTCGAACATTCGGGAAGACATGATCGTGTTGCTTCACGATCGTAACCAACCACCACTCAACTGGAAGTTAGGTCGCATCGTAGCCGTCTATCCTGGAACCGACGGCCTGGTCCGAGCAGTTGATGTCTTCGTGAATGGAACCACGTATCGACGTCCCATCAATAAGGTGTCCATTCTGCCCATCGAGGATAATGATTCCCGTCAAAACCCTCCGACTTCCAAAAGGTGTTGAGATCTCTTAACCGGGGGGAGGATGTTCCGCCTACCGCCGAAAGAGAGGAGAAAAACGTCGACCAATCAGCAACGAGCAAACGGTCGGTGCCGTTCTATAAAAATCCCCGCAGTAGCGTGCATAAGTTTAAGTTTGAATCCAACCGAGCATTCGTTCGCAGCAGCAGCAGCTTTCACCTTGTATCAAGAAACGAAGAGAAATAAACAGTAGTTTCTAGTGTAGTCGGCAGCATTCGTCATTTCTACTGCATGTCCATTGGTGTCCCGGAGAGCAGCGTCAAACCCCCCAGCTCTTTTCAGAGCTCCTGAGTTTAGAACTTCGATTGACGCTAGCCAACTCCGTTCGCTCCCGCCCAGTACAGTCCATTTCGCCTTGACAAAACCAGTTCAGAAGACATTGTGAGGATAGTTTCGAGCGAATTCCGAAATTATTAAGAGGGATGTCTGAAAGGAATTCCAAGCAAATTTCTGAGAATAATCCCAATGATATTTTGAAGTGAATTCTGTGATGAATTTCAGAACTTCTGCGATCATCCCAAGGAAATGCGAAAGAGAATCATTTGATAATTTTATGGGGAATACTTCCCAAGTAACAATTCGAGCTTGATCATAGTCTTGTAGCCCATGACTTAGACTAGATGAATGCTTTAAAGCCTCGAATAACATGAAATGTTAGGACATTGTGTGAAGCATTCCGAGGAAGTTTTCAGACGAATTATGATTAGAATTCCAAGGATTATGCATTATGAAATAGCGTTTCTCAATGTATGGGTCGTGATACACCGGTTTCAAAAAGTGATTATACAAAATATTTTGAATTTGTTAAAACAGCTTATTTTGTTTTAACAAATTCAAAATATTTTGGAATTTCAAGATGCCCGTTTTTTTTCTGGTTGTTCAGCAGCTATTGCGTTGTTCTATTAGTTTATTTATTTGTTTATTTGTTTATTTGTTATGGTTGCATCAACAGACTAGAAATAGTCCCAATGATGTGTTGTAAAAAAGTACAGATTATACAGACGACATACATATACTACAGTTACTACAGTTACAAACGAAAATAACTTGGAAAGCATTGTCAAGTTACTAAAAATTTATAAGTCTTAAATTTTACACTTAGCTGTTGGGCGTCAAGCGCCTTCGGTCAGCAAAAAAGGCAGAGAATCTTCGGCGAAGCATATTCCGTGTCAAGTGGAAATCGAACATCGACGCTACTCTCTGTTGAACACTAGCTGCAAGCCGTAAATAGCGCTCCCTATGCTATAATTAGTTCGAAGAAGTGGAAGTCTCAGCATAAGACTGTTGCGTAGTGATCGAGGTTGAACATTAATGTTCACTTGTTGCAGAATTGCTTCGCAGTCAATTCTTCCTTGCAGAGTATCGGCGACGGTTAAGGCTCTGAAAACATCTCTTCGTATACGTAAGGGCTCGATATTGATCAATTGGCAGCGATTCTCGTAGCTTGGAAGACGAAGTGGGTATCTCCAAGGCAGCTTACGGAGCGCGAAGCGAAGAAAACGTCGTTGAACAGATTCAATTCGCTCGGCCCCATTATTGTAGTTCGGGCTCCAGACACCAGAGCAGTATTCCAACGTAGATCGTACGAGAGAGCAATAGAGCGATTTCAAGCAGTAAATGTCCGTGAAGTTCTTAGTAATCTTGAAGACAAAGCCAAGCGTTCTGGACGCTTTGTCGACGACATACGATATATGGTGTGAGTATGTCAGTTTTGAGTCTAGAAAAACGCCTAAGTCTTTCACGCAGTGCACCCGTTCGATAGTCGTGCCTAGTAGTTTGTAGTTGAAAATAATCGGTTGTTTCTTGCGTGAGAAAGTAATAACTGTACACTTAGCTGGGTTGACCACCAGTCGGTTTAGACTACACCAGTCAGGCTATGTCTTAGATGTCTTATGCTGTACACAGAAGTCGTCCCCATTCCACTCGATCCATGGCTGTATCTAAAAGATATACCAAGGGAAATCTAGGAATACTCCAATTCGTTATTATAGAGCAAATTCAATATTAATGTGAGCGATTTCTGTCAAGAGTTATTACGAATGTGAAAACAATTGTTCAGTGAGTTCAAGAGTTTTCAAGATGAATTACTAGAGAGGCTCTCATGTTTATTTAAAGGAAATTCTGAGTTGAACTCTATTGATATTCTGAATTAACTCTTATGATTTTGTTTTAGGAAAGTCCAAAGATGAAGAGTTTTAACAAAATTGATAAGGTAATGGCTCAAGATCCAGAATATAGAAAAAATACAGAGGCTTTAAAATGTGTAAAAGATCTTAAGAGTTCTACATTCTAGCTAATAAAGCAACATTCTGGGACATTAATTGCTTGTGAGACTAACGGAAATATTCGTGTTGCCAAGAGTTTAGAAATTGCGAACTTGACATGAAATCAAGTGTCATAGAAATTGGTTCTCCAGGATTCTCACTTAGGAAAATGGAAGATCTAGGAACTCGGAGACCTTAAAAATCAGCCTGGCTACGCCCTTGGTGTCAAGTAGAAGATAGAAGCAGACTTTGCTGGTTTTGATCCAAACGAAATGTCATATGGCGAATTCGTTTACTATTCAGTTTCAACCTGGATCGGGTCTGCGTGTTTTCTGACAACGTCAGTTTGATCCTTTGTTTTTAAAACCTACCTCAGGTTGAGGTACGCACTGACAGTAAGTTCAGTTCCCGATATATTCAAAATTATAAATTTCTAAAGTTCTATTTCTGCTAGTATGTCGATGTGATATTCTAGTAAGATGTAGTGCATTCAAAAGGGTAATTTTTTTACTGGTATGAGCGGAAACAAATCTAAGGGTTTATTTTTAGCGAGGAGTCTACTTTAATGCAAAATGCGCAATACGACATTGATATCCTGCATTGAACTAGTTGTGTGAATGTGTACCAATAAATGGAAAAGAGTCATTGAAAATTGCCAAATTTTGTACCAGTGAAAGACTGTGCCAAAAGTTTATTAATTGATATCAATCGAGCTTTGTAAAACAATATCACATAATCCACATTATAAAAAAACAGAACATATTTGCCAGAGGTTTAAAATTTACAGGAGACCATTTTTGGAATGAATAATGTCATACTTTTACACAGACAGCTAAATATTGTTGCTATAGATTTCAAAAATTGTCCGAGCAGCAGAGTTCGAAAAATGCAGTACAGATTTCCTAATTACCTAAAAATATCGAATATCAAACTCATCGACGGATTTGTACAGGGAAAATGTAGTTTGTAAATATATACCTACTGTAGTTTTAGTGTAGCATTGAAATGGAAGCTAAAATAGAAGATTATTTGTCGACCAGCTGTCGCATTCCGATTGAGGCTAATTCGATGTTCCATAAATGCGCAATGAGCATACCACGTGATAATGAAACCATTCCAAAAACGAACAAAAACTATAAATCGGACAGGTAAAGGTACTAAGGACAAATGCAAACCTTTGATTCGTATGAAAATATTTTTGTATGCAGTAGTTAGATGAGTCGTTTCCAGCAGAGGAGAATGTCTTTGTGTATGTGCAAAAAGTGTAGACAGTTTGAAAGAGAAGAAAAGGAAAGAGATCAAGCCGTGTTGTTAGCCTCGTTTTATCTTAGGATTCTTCGAAACTTCCAGCCGTCCTGATTTTGGATGAGTATACTGAAACTTGATTGTGAGCAGGTCATTTTTATTTTATTTGTTTATTGAGCATAGGCGTTCTTATCATTATGCTTAATTTAGTTTGCCGATTCGCATGAGCGAACAGTTTTACGAGCGACATGCTGACGTAAATGGATTGCTACTTGCAGACAACATGCAATCGCACCCCGCCCAAAAAATAATAGCAATCGTTTCTCAGTAAATCAGTAATTAGCAAACATCATTGACCTTGCTCTTGTGGTGGCGATTGTACGGATGCCGTTCACGGCTTGGGCATGGTTCAATGGCGCGCCTGTCCCCCATTCATCGACATGCTTCAACGGGGAAGCTATCACCTCGCGAGGTAATTGCGTTGTGTTCCTGTTTTGGTGGTTTTCGCATGATTGCTAGCACTATCTCTGTGTATTATTGGCATTCGTTTAGCACATTCTTATTCACAATTTTAGATTCTTAAAAACGAACAAAGCTTAAAATAAATCTCCTTTGTATGTGTTTGTAGCCTTAAGAGTATTGTAAAACTTAGAAACAGATTTAAAAAAAATGCGAGCCTCGCTTACCCCTACAGTTTCTTGAAAGCATTCTGCAGAATTTCGAACTCTCCGTGGATGTTGCGCATCAGGTTGGCAATCTGCGGCTTTGAGTCGAGGATTTCCACACTTTCCGTGTAGGCATTGTAGCGGACACCGAACGGACGGGGGATGGTGTTGGCGTAGGTGACCATCTTCTGGACCGCGTCCTCGAAACTATTTGCCACGAAGTACATCGGCTGGTACTCGGTGATTGGGTACTTTTGCTCACCCGTCGTAGGAGGATCGAACTCACGGAGCTCGGGTTTGTCGGACAGGCAGTACTGGAGTTCGCCAAATGAGGACAGCAGACCGGCACCGAAGGCCTTCAATTGACCGTTCTGACGACACAGACCGAATTCGACCGTGAACCAGAAGCACTGCAAGAAGAGATTTTTGAGATGTTAGTTATACTATTTCAAATCAAACTTATTCACATTCAGAAGGTTATCTTGGGGATGATGATTGTCTTATTCTATGACCAATGCAATGTAGCGAGATAGGAGCACATTATCGTTTACACCGTTTATTTAAACAAGCAATAGAACTCATACATTTTCCCAGCAGTTTCAGGCTTAGAGAAGACATCATGTGGCTGTTGGTGGAATCAAAAGAGACCACTGCAAGAGTTAACTTTAACTTTCCTTTGCATGATATTCGCAAAAGTATTCCACAACTTATAGGTCCATCCTCAATTTAAAGCTATTGAAAATCAAATCAAAATCTATTTAAAACTTAAAAAAGCATTTTTTACATTCCCAAGCAGACAAAAAAAATACTATCGGAATGAAATGCTTGAAACTGAAAGTTCTACCACTGAATTGAATAACTTTAAACTCCAACTTATCCAAATTTTACTCACCGTAGCCAACTTTTCGACGTACTCATCCGGAGCGCCAAGTGACGCCAATCCGATCTCCTGTGAGAACTGCGCAAAGGACGGATCGGCAAACAGCGGAGCATGGCCCAATAGCTCGTGGCACACGTCCGGTTCCGGGGTATACAGTGGCTTACTCGGGTGCCGAATGTACTGCGTCGAGTGGAACACGCGGAACGCCAAACCGGCGAGGAAGTCACGGGACGACAGCAGACCAGCTACGGGCCGAAGCGTGAAGCCGGTACAATCCTTCAGGAAGTTCGAAACATCTTCCAGCTGAGGAATGTTGTCCTCCCTGTAGCCACAGTTTTCGATCAACAGCGGAAACACGTGATTGTGCTCGCGGCAGGCGTGCGTCGGATAGAGCTTGGTCAGATTCTGGAAAACCACTTTCCAAGTGTTGGTCTCCTCTTCAGTATAATCCACATGAGGCAACGGTTGGCCGTGCTTGTAGTTGAATGCAATATCAGCAAAGTACTTGCGACGATTACGGTATGTCTCGTCGGTAAAACCCGGATGATCGCAATCCAGTTCGGCTCCATACGACAGAATTTGATTGGCGAAACGATCCAGATCACGAATACGACGCGGGAACCACGGAACGGTAGCTATTGAAAATCAAATTGAACGCTTTATTACCACCGGCCCATATTCAACAAAATCAAACTTACCCTCATTGTCTTTGTAGTCCCGCGAGATAATGTTAAAGTAGTCGCTCTGCTCCCGTACCGTCTCGATGGCTGCACTCAGATTCTGACTCTTACTGTCGCACTCAACCATAAACTCGTATCCAGGGCCACGGGTTGACGACCGCGATTCAATGTGCAACAGGTTCACCTTATGCTCCTCGAAGATCTTCAGCATCTTGGACAGTGCACCGGCTTCCTCCTGAAGCGGCGAAAAGATGATGCTGACATTCTTCGCCTCTGCTGATTCGTGTCCTTCCATGATGTAGGATCCACCCTCCTTTAGGGTTGGCTATTGTCACAAAGCAAAAGCAAAAAAAAAAAACACAAAGAAGGAAGTTGATCACACTTTAATTAATGTTCAACGTGTTTCCGCGCGAGTTCTGCGCGCGTTGATCAATCAATCAGAACTGAGCCTAAGCCACTTTCATAGCGGTTGCTTTATACGAGCCCCCCCGTTACGAGTCCGATGATTGTCGACTGTTTAGGGAGTTTCAACAAAGTAGATGGAAAAAACGTCGCAATTAACTACTGTGATTGACGCGCTCGGATCGGATTGTTCCTTTTTCCAGTATCACTGCTTCGACGTAAGGCGACCCAATGAGACGTCGTTCACTTGCTCCCATTGACTAGACACCGATTCGATCCGCATGCATTGGACTTGTGATTAGAGATGCGATAATGATGAAATTCCGTCTGAGATTGCCGGAGAACGTTGGAATTTTTTTGGGGGATTAATCGTTACTCTGGTAAGTTGTGGTGTGATTGTGAAAGTGCGACTTATGGCAATTCGTAGAAAATACGTTATTGGATTGAATGTAGTTGTAATACAAATTGGGAGGAATTAAACGACGTTCAGCGAACCGTATCCGAAGATCATAATAATTAAACGTATGCCTAATTGGGTGGTGATATGTGTTTGATTTAAACTGTTTCTTAATAACATTAGTGATAAGGTCAAATTGTCTCTTTGGTAAATAGGGTTATGATTGGCTTCGGCCTCCCAAGACCCTATTCTACGTAAGGAGTTAGTGATGAAATTGCTGTTGCAAGTTGCTAGTAGCCTCATCAGTTTCACCACGTGTAATTTAAGAAAACAAAGTCAAACAGGGGTCGGCCCCGGCTAGTGGTTCACATCCATACCTCTTACGCTAAAGTCACGTCTTCAAATCTCATCTACGGTCAAGTTACGAATGCTGTAATGTCACGGATACTGTGGTCTAATGTCGTGAAGATATTGTTGTGAAGAGGTGCCGGTTAGAATCAATTGTTTTTCGATAATCAGGTACCGAATTTGTAAGTAATATTGCATAATGTTTAAAGAAGCTAATAAATCTATTATAGCTTTGTAGCTGACTCAAAGACATTCACATTCACATTCATGTCTTATCTACTGAAAGAGTCTGTCCGATGACTTTCGCCAGCACCTCTCCGCAATAGATACACTTGTATGGCAAACTATGAACATGAGCATTATTTGTATAATAAATTATGAGCACATCCATGGTCACACTTGTAATAAACATTTTTGCGAAAAGCGAACTGATATTTCCTAAAGATCATGTGATAAGATATTATCGATTTTCCCTATAAAATACGCCCTTTTCTAACGTCAATAACTCAGCACGGGGTAAATACACTTAAGTTTGAAAGTTAACATTGAGCTCAACTTTGGAAGGGCTCAACTTGAAATGCATTATACGTAAAAAATTAGAGTGGTTTTATTTTTTTTTAACTTGTATTAATTCAAATTTATTAATTTTTAAAATATATTTTGGAATAACTTTTTTATTAAAAGAGATAAAGGCAATTTTTGTTTCGGAATTAACTCAGCTACAACTTTGTTCAAGATTCTAGTAGTTCTTTATTTAAAAAGTAAGAAAATTAGTTTTTTGAATATCAACTAATTTGAGGACCACCCTATTGCTTATAATCACCAAAAGTAGGGACTTTTTAAGCACTAAAACTTCACCGAAACCAAACGTCTGAATATTAAAACAAAAGTACTAAAACATTTTATTTAAATTTGTCGTGGTTTGTTTAAATTTCTATAGAGAACAACTAGTGCAAATTTGATCAAAGTAGTCGATCGCGTTCAGAAATAACGTCAAATGGTCTTGGAAGAAGAAAAAAAAATATTGTGCACAAACGCCTGGAAAATTCGGAGTGGTCCGGTTCCAAGCTGGCTAAAGTGCTGAAGATGCCGAAAACAACAATTTATCGAGTGCTCAAAACCTACAAGGAAACCCTGAGCGTGGAATGGAATTAGCGGACCTACGAAAAAATTAGACCCAGGGATCGTCAGCTGCGCAGCAAGATGTTGAGGTGCGTTGAAGCCAACCCCGGTCTTTCGATCCGAGATGTGGCTAGAAGGTACAACGCCAACTTTCAAACGGTGCGGAACATCCTTGCCAGGGAAGGATACAAGTCGTACAAAGCCAGTAAACATCCGAACCGGCACATGAAGCGGAATTCCGTGGCCAAAAAGCTTGCAAGGCTCTTGAACGACCGTGTTTTGACGAAACACAAGGGCTGCACTTTGATCGATGACGAAACATACGTCAAACTCGATATTAAGCAACTTTCCGGTCAAAACTTTTACATCGCGACTTTACGTGGGGATGTACCGGGAAGATTCAAGTTCGTGCTTACCGGCAAGGTTTCGCGAAGAATGTCGTGATTTGGCAAGTGATTTGCAGTTGTGGTCTGAAAACGGAACCATTCGTCACATCCTCGACGATGACATCCCAAGTTTACACATCGAAGAATGCCTGAAAAACCTGAAAAAAGTCATCTTTTGGCCCGATTTGGCCAGCTGCCACTACTCCAAAGTGCTTCCGGAGTGTTCCACCAATCGAAAAATGCTGGGCAATTTCAAAGCAGCGACTTTGACGAAGCGGCAGGGTAGTCAAGGACATCCAGCAAATGCGGGCAAAATGGAAGAAATGCGCTGATTTTGTGTCCGTTTCCACTGTGGGGCGGTGATGGGCTCCATCAAGAGGAAGGTTCGAGATTTCGTTCGAACTGGAGAAATGCTACCATCTAATGCTGTAACTTTGAAGTTTTAAGTAAGGCAACCATTAATGGACTTTTTAAACTTATTAAATTACGAATTACAGGTCTTTTAGTGCGTATTAATTTACTTTTAGTCAGCCTTCAGTCACAAACGAAGTGACAGACGGAGCGGCTCGAAATTTGGTTTGACGCACTTACATTTGAAATTTTCGAGTGTACCTCACGGCAACACTATCTACTCATATGTACTAGCTTAAAGTAGTTGATGCTATTGGGGCACCGCCTGTTATCTCTTTTTCTCTAACGAAAATTGAAAGGGAGAGCCTGTTGTCAAACTGCATGTCACTATGTTGTGTTCATTGTTATCTGCACTTCTTTTGTATAATGAAAGACCTTAGGCCAAAATGATTAGGAGTAAACACATCGGGTTAACATTTGCTTACAAATAAACGATGTTGAGCTGTCAATGACTCGCGCTTTTTGGCGGCAATTGTTGCTAAAGATTTCATCAGTCGGTGCTCCTAACCAAAGCCATGGTCATTCGCGACCGAGAAGATATCGTTGTTGGACGCCAAACAGGACCCGCCCGTAATCCAATAAAAATACAATGATTTTGAATGGAGATTTTTGTTGATTATCATAAAATCAAAACGAAAATCATGGTATATGAGAAATGTACAGTAAAAAAGGGGGGTTGTTAAGCATCTTAACAATAAAAAAAAACTGATTTTTCTCGAACAAATATGATATCATCAAATTAATTTTCATTGAGAATTGTATCTTTTAAAACGAAATTTATTTTTTCACCCGTCCAATAATTTAACAATAAATTTATAATGTGCCCGAAATTCAACCGTAAAAATCATTGTAATTTCGTTATTTTATTATAATTATTTTTTTTTCGGGTGGCCATACTCGGTATGCATTTGCTCCTCCGTAGAGGAACTGAAAGCTTTCGACGAGGGCGATCTGAAGAAGGAAAATTTACTCCAAAATCATGCCGAAATCCATCGAATCGATCGACGTGCTGAAGGTGAGATGGTGAGAATGAAGGAGGATCGGATGAAACCAATTTTGTTCAATTTATTATTTATTTCGGCTAAAGATGCTGTATGTCACGCGTTTGAGCATGATTGCGGTACGATGGTGCGATGCTCTATTCTGGACCGGGCTACTAGACGTGGCAAAACTAGTCATTATACCTGCTACGTGTACCTTGTTACCTGAAGACGAGGAGGGAATCTTCGGATTCATGGAGGAGGACATCAGAAATGAGGAAGCTCGTATCCGAGGACAAAAGTGTTACATCTGCAAGGAACGGTATGCAAACGTTTGGTATTGCGCGAAGAAGTGCTTCCGTTCATTCCATACGCTTTGTGGGATGCAGAATGAGTGCCTGTCGCATTACGTGGAAACGTTCCAGTCGTGGTGCGATAAGCACGTAGCGCTGGTGGATAAGGTGAAACACTCCGAGACCGAAGCCTGTGGGATTTGCTACGATGATATGGGACCGTACAGGAAGCTGGAATCGATTCGTGACCCGTGCTGTCAGAATGGCTGGTTCCATCGGAGCTACGTGGCACAGTTTGCCCAATCGGCGAGGTACTTTTTCAATTGCCCTTTGTGCAACAAGGACGACTTTAGTCTGCAGATCCATCAGCGTGGCATTTATATTCCGGAAAATTAAGCGAAGCGGCGGAGGTGGGTGAATCGGTATTTGAATACTGAATATTTTATTTTAATTGTTCGAGGGATGCCTCGTGGGAGCTGGAACCGAATGTATTCAACGATCAGTTGGAACGTCCTTCGGAGTGTGACGCTGAAGAGTGTCGCTGTCGGTATGGGCGAGATTACGACGATTGCAAGCGTTGGGATCTGATCCTTTGTGCAACGTGCGGTTCGACTTGTCGCCAAGATCAGTGCATGGAGGTTCCCTCGAAGAACTATGTTTTCACCTTTTGTAGTTCGATTGTCCGAAAGACGCCGGAAGCGGTTTTGAAGCTAGCCGAGGCTTCCCGAAGAGTGGAAGCAGCAAGATGGGGGAAGCCGGTAACGATAGCAGAGAGGGGAGTTCTAGGGGCCGATCTAGTGGCAGACGTCAGATTGAATCGGATGATTCAGATTCTGAAGAGTCAGTTGCATTGACGACCAAACGCAAATCTCAGAAAAGACGAACCGCAATAGACAGTGACGACAGCGATTCCGATCTGGTTTCTACACGAAAGAAACCAACGTCGAAATGACGGCTGTCCACGTCTTCATCTAGTTCTTCCTCGT